CAATAACAACAACAACATGTGGTTTGGTAACATCAGGACTGTGCCATTTTATTTGTCAACCTAAGGCTTCTCAGTTTCAGCAGCCAGCAGCTGTCTGAGTGAAGGAACACCTCTAGCTCCAGTGGGCTGGGAGCAGGAGGCAGAGCTGGACCCCAAGGTTGAGGGGCTTTCACCCAGTCCCTTGAGCCTGGCACTTTGAACTTGGATTTAAAGCTTCCAAACTGTAAGAGAATAAACTCCTGTTTGTTAAAGCCATCCCATTTGTGGTATACTCTTGTCAGAGTGGCACTAGGTAACCAGAACAACTTTTTTTCCACAACATGAAAGGCTACTATACATCTGGACCTTACCATATGGGATACACAGAAATCAAATAGATATATCTGTGGAAAGAGGTGATAGAGAAGCTCAATATCATTTGTCAAAACAAGGCCAGGGGCTGACTGTGGAACAGATCATTAATCACTCATACGCAAGTTAAGGTTGATGCTGAAGAAAATTAGAACAAGTCCACAAGAGCCAAAATACCACCTTGATATATCCCAACTAAATTTAGAGACCATCTCAAGAATAGATTTGACAAGTTAAACACTAATTACTGAAGACCAGACAAATTGTGGGAGGACATCATAAATGAAGGAAAAAAAAAAATCATTAAAAAGTCAAGGAAGGAAGAAAAGACCAAAATGAATGTCAGAAGAGACTCTTAAACTTGGTATTGAATGTAGAGTAGCTAAAGCAAATAGAAGAAATGATGAAGTAAAAGAGCTGAAAAATATTTCAAATGGAGGCTTGAGAAGACAAAGTAAAGTATTATAATGAAGTGTGCAAGTAACTGGAGTTAATAATAATAATAATAATAATAAATTCTTAGCATTTCTCAAGCTGAAAGAATTGAATGATTAGGTACTATGTCAATAACCAAAAGATCAGTGATTCAAATCCACTAGCTACTCCATAAGAGAAATATGTGGCAGTCTGCTTCCATAAAGATTAAAGGTGCAGTGCCTAAGGCATTTGACTGCTAACTAGAAGGCTGGTGGTTCAAACCCACCAGCTGCCCCGCATAAGGAAGATGGGGCCATCTACTTCCATAAAGATTTCCTGCCTTGGAGACCCAATGGAGGTCACTGTCTTACAAACCCTATGAGGCAGTTTTACTCTGTCCTATGGGGTCATGAGTGCAAATCGACTGAATGGCAAAGGGTTTGATTGGTTTTGTACTTTGAAGGCTCTTAATCTAGACCCACTGCAACTCTCAAGTCAAAGGTCACCTCCTTTCATGTGTTTATGATTGTGTGTGATTTAAAAAAAGATTGCCCTGCAGGCAATTCCAAAACCCATGTGTGCCAGAGTAGAACTGTGCTCCTTAAGTTTCGGTTTTCCCCAACCATCAGTGGCATTTTATTTTGGAAGTTTATATGTATTACATAGGTTTTAATTTCCACCATGTCAAATCTACTCCTCTCCCAAAAAACCAATATATGTATTTTTTTAATTAACATATGAAAATCTTTTACCTAGTTTCTCTAATGTCTTAGATTTAAAACAAACAAACATAAACTTAAGTGATGTATTCTCTTGTATGAGCATACTGCTTTTTAAGGAGGATTTAGTCTGTTCACTACCAATTTCTATTTCTTCCTAGGGAGCAAGGGGAAAGATGGTCACTGCTTCTTTTTCCTTTTAATAAATTAATTTCTGGATTAGTGCACACTATTATTCCCCACTTGACACCTTAGACATTTGTTTGTTTGATGTGTTTTCCATTTGGCAAAATTTAACGGGGCTTTGTGTGGGATGTCTATGTGTCAGAAACAACAGTGTTGATGTTCTTGTTTTGACAGAAAATATACAGAGAGGCATACACTTCCAAGAAGAACAAATGTAGGAGACTGAAATAACATGAGCACAGAGTTAAGAAGGCTGATAGACACTACTTGGTTTTGGATTCTGTGGCTATCATCCACTGAACACTACAGTGTAGGCCAGAA